AAAGTAAGTTTCAATGGATGCTATCATTCCTACAGCTGGGGAGGAGGGGGCAATAAAAGGAAGATACCATTTTACTGTTAGCATTACATTAGCATTCCAGAGATTGATAAAGATTGCAGTAGCACTTTTAAATAAATGTATTTTAGTAATATATGATGTAACTTTATTTATATCCTTTTTACATTCCATTGCCATTTTAATAAGCTGTATTATTTTTATTATTATTATATTTATATAGCGCCATCAAATTCCGCAGCACTTTCCAATGGGTGTACGAACAGACATGTAGTTGTAACCAGACAAGTTGGACACACAGGAACAGAGGGGTTGAGGGCCCTGTTCAATAAACTTACATGCTAGAGGGAGTGGGGTAAAATGACACAAAAAGGTAAGGATAGTATTAGACTAGTGACAGTTGCAGAAGAGGAATCAGTCAGGAGCCATTAACAGTTTAATTGATACGCTTTAATGAAGAAGTGGGTTTTTAGTGATTTTTTTAAAGGAGTGGAGACTGGGTGAGCATCTCACGGAGGAGGGAAGCGAGTTCCACAGGAATGGTGCAGCCCTCGAGAAATCTTGAAGGCGAGCATCAGAGGTGGGAGTACGGACAGAAGATAGACGTAAGTCTTCAGCAGATCGTAAGGGCCTAGACTGGACATACTTGTGTATAAGGGAGGATAGATAGGTGGGAGCAGCATTATGTAGAGATTTGAAAGCAAGAACCAGAATTTTAAATTGAGCTCTATATTTTATAGGAAGCCAATGTAGGGACTGACAGAAGGGTGAGGCATGGGAGGTGCGGGCGGACAGGAAGATGAGCTTCGCTGCCGCATTCATTATGGACTGTAACGGCGCAAGTTGGGAGCACTTAAGACCATTGAGAAGCAGATTACAGTAATCAAGGCGAGAAAGGACAGTGGAATGGACCAACAACTTAGTTGCATCTGGCGTTAAGTAGGGGCGGATGCGCGCAATGTTTTTGAGATGGAAATTACAGGATTTGGCGATAGATTGAACGTGAGGCTTGAAGGAGAGGTCAGAGTCAAAGAGAATACCTAGGCAGCGAGCCTGATTGGTGGAGCTGATGGTAGCACAGTTGATTTGGAGGGAGACAGACAGAGTAGTAACAACACTTGAGGGAGGAAAGACCAGAATTTCAGTTTTGGTCAAGTTTAGTTTAAGGAAGTGGGCAGCCATCCAGTTAGAAATAGCAGAGAGACAGTCAGATACACTAGTCAAGAGGGACGGGGAGAGATCAGGAGAGGACAAGTAGATTTGCGTATCATCTGCATAGAAATGATATTGGAAGCCAAAGGAGCTAATGAGTTTACCAAGGGAGGCAGTATAGATGGAGAACAGTAGGGGACCAAGGACTGAACCTTGGGGGACACCAACACAGAGGAGTTGGGGAGAAGAAGCAGAGCCAGAGAAAGAAACACTGAAAGAGCGCTGGGAGAGGTAGGAGGAGCAATATCTTGTAGACTAATAATGTCTTCAGAGTCCTTACAAATACCTATATGCAAAGTATTTGCCCATTTTCATTTCATTTCATTTCAGACAATGTATGACATGTTGCAAGATAAAGGACACTGTATATTGTCTTTAATTAAAAATAAGTACAATAATAATAATAAATATATATATATATATATATATATATATATATATACAGTTGCAAGAAAAAATGTGTGAACCCTTTGGAATGATATGGATTTCTGCACAAATTGGTCATAAAATGTGATCTGATCATCATCTAAGTCACAACAATAGACAATCACAGTCTGCTTAAACCAATAACACAAAGAATGAAATGTTGCCATATTTTTATTGAACACACCATGTAAACATTCACAGTGCAGGTGGAAAAAGTATGTGAACCCTTAGACTAATGACATCTCCAAGAGCTAATTGGAGTGAGATGCCAGCCAACTGAAGTCCAATCAATGAGATGAGATTGGAGGTGTTGGTTACAGCTGCCCTGTCCTATAAAAAATGCACACCAGTTCTGGGTTTGCTTTTTACAAGAAGCATTGCCTGATGTGAATGATGCCTCGCACAAAAGAGCTCTCAGAACACCTACGATTAAGAATTGTTGACTTGCATAAAGCTGGAAAGGGTTATAAAAGTATCTCTAAAAGCCTTGCTGTTCATCAGTCCACGGAAAGACAAATTGTCTATAAATGGAGAAAGTTCAGCACTGCTGCTACTCTCCCTAGGAGTGGCTGTCCTGTAAAGATGTCTGCAAGAGCACAGCGCAGACTGCTCAATGAGGTGAAGAAGAATCCTAGAGTGTCAGCTAAAGACTTACAAAAGTCACTGGCAAATGCTAACATCCCTGTTAGCGAATCTACAACACTTAAAACACTAAACAAGAATCGATTTCAAGGGAGGATACCACAGAGGAAGCCACTGCTGTCCAAACAAAACATTGCTGCACCTTTACAGTTTGCACAAGAGCAACTGGATGTTCCACAGCAGTACTGGCAAAATATTCTGTGGACAGATGAAACCAAAGTTGAGTTGTTTGGAAGAAACACACAACACTATGTGTGGCGAAAAAAAGGCACAGCACATCAAGATCAAAATCTCATCCCTGTGAAGTATGGTGGTGGGGGCTTCATGGTTTGGGGCTGCATTGCTGCGTCAGGGCCTGGACGGATTGCTATCATCAAAGGAAAAATTAATTCCCAAGTTTATCAAGACATTTTGCAGGAGCACTTAAGGCCATCAGTCTACCAGCTAAAGCTCAACAGAAGATGGGTGTTGCAACAGGACAATGACCTAAAGCATAGAGGTAAATCAACAACAGAATGGCATAAACAGAAGAAAATACGACGTTTCAGTCCATAATAGGACTTTCATCAGGATTTCTATCAGGATATCCTGATGAAAGTCCTATTATGGACTGAAACGTTGATTTGCTGTTCTGGATATTCCTTGCACTCAGACGGTAGGTAAACTAGTGCTGATTGCATTCAGCAGGGGTAACCTAATGTAGATATAGCTGTAGATAAGCTTGCACTCACGCTCTTCTCAGTTAAAAAGTCATATTTTATTGAAATAAATTAAAAGTACAGACCAACGTTTCAGTCCCCATCTGGCACCTTCATCAGGATCAAAGATCTTATCTTACCTACAGCTATATCTATATACACATTTATAAGAAGTCCATTCATTCATATTTTATAAGATCTAGTTATTTTATTATACCAATAAAGAGATTTTAATTCATGAGATAAAAAATGTACATTCTATTTGAAAAGGAAAAAGAAAATTACACATACATTTTAAAAGCAAACTTCTATGTTAGGATTAGTAGCTATGATCAGATCAGTATGGGACTTCTTAAATTGACATCCAATAAAATCAATAAAACTGAAGTACAAATGGAAATGGTACAAGAGGGTTCTCAAAAGAACACTCATGATTTCAGAA